TCTCTCTCCTCAGCTTGTTGGACAAGTTCGACAGCCTGCCGGGTCACCTGACAGAGGACTTTCACCTCTTCTCCCTCAACGACCTCACTGCTGTGCGCAACGGGGAACTGGGTTCCCGAATGAAAGAGCTGCTGAAACTTGGTACCATGCACGTAGCCAGCTGTGTGGTAAGATGAGAGTCAGGTTCCTCTATAAATTAAAATGGGCTTTTGGACAATAACATCAACAAATACTCTGCTTTTTGTTTTTTTTCATGTTGATCTAAAATGTCCTTTTCCCTCATCTTATCCTCAGCTGTGCCAAGCAAAAGGCTTTGTTTGCGAGTTCTGCGGGAACGACAAAGACATCATCTTCCCTTTCCACCTGAGCAAGTGCCAGCGTTGCGAAGGTGAGCCCTCTCTGCTGGTGGCAGGCCTGGGTGGGGCAAGGCCCTTCTCCCACCTCTCCGTTCAGTTTACCTGGCCAGAGTGGAAGATTCCCAAGCCTCGTAGCCTGGCAAAGGCCCTCGCGGTGGGCATGAAAGAGGGGGTGGGTGGGGAGGAGGATTTAGGGATGAGAGTAGATGAGGTGTGGAGTGGAGAGCAAAAGGAGCAGGAGGAAGTGCGACAAGCATCAAGAGACACAGCAAAAGTGAGACATGAGAAAGGGGGACTATTTCAAGGTTTTACTGCTGGAAAACTGGTTAAAGCTTTTTCCCGGAATAAGCTTAATGAGGAGGAGCAGGTAATGACAAGAGGGCGGGATTCGGAGAGGAAGGAACAGATAGAGCATGATGACAACAGAAGCGTTGGTCAGCACGGTGGGGTGGAGAGCAGTGAGGGGGAGCAGAGCAAGGAAAAGGAGGCTAGACATACAAGAAAGGAAAAAAGGAACTTCTTAAAGGTTTTTCAGATGGACAGATTAAAGAAAAGCATCTTAAAAGCAGACAAAAGGGGCAGCGACAGAGAAATAGGCAGCAGCGTGGAAAGTTTAAATGAAATTGGAAAAGAGGGGAAGGGAGGTGGCAAGGCATCAGTGCTAAGAAGTCGAGTCAAAGGTTATTCAGAAACAGACGTGGAGGATGAGCGGAAACCAGAAGTGAAAGAGGAAGACAGAAATGAAGAGTTTAAAAAAAGATCCTCAGAGGAAGCACGGGGAACGGCAGATGAAAAGAAAGATGGGGCCCAAGCTGGGAGAACGGGGAAAACTGAATCTGTGGCTGACAAACATCCCGTTATGAGACGAGAATCTCATCAGCTGACAACTGATGTCTCCAGAGGGAGAAGCAAGGAGGAGAGTAGTGGAAGTGGGGAAAGTGATGGAGGAAGAAACCCTGAGGAGGAAGGCCAAGAAGAATCAGGAATTGTGACGCGGAGTAACTGGAGAAAACTTAAAACTCGCAAAGGCAGGAAAATAACCAGAGGCAGGAAGATGAGGGAAGGCATGGAGAAAAATAAGACAAGAGGGGAAGCGACATAGATCATGATGCAGGGGGAGGACACGAGTAAGGAGGGCTGTGTCCTGGGATCACAAAGGATTAGGAAACCTGAGTAAAACTGGAATCGCTCACAGCAAACACAGTTTAATTTGATACATTTGCTGGATTAAAACCAGCTCCTGTTTGTCCAGAATATTGATGGATTTCTGGTTGCAGTCAACCAAAGGCCTCACGGTTATTTATCCTTTGACTATCGAGCAGTTATTGTACAGTGATTTAAGTTCGTCTACCCTTGAGGTACATGTTTTTTACAGTGTTCACAGTCTTGATATTTAAAATGTTACTACCCCAAACGCACATTTCTGGCAGTTAACGCTTGTGTAGCTGTGCATTAATGTTTACCAAAACCAGAAAGTCTTATAGAAACCAAGTTGGACAATCCTTATTGCCAAGAGCATGATGATGATGATATCGATACCACTCTCATATTTGCCTGTTAAAGGTAAAACAATGGCCTATAAACGTCTCTAAACTTTGCAGATGCACGAGTTGGGCCTCATGTGTTTACATCCAGTGTTAAATATGTAGTTTTAACCTTACCTTGCAGACATAAGAGTGGTGTTCTCTAACTGCACAGGACATGCTGAACTGTCCCTTTAGGTGTTGTAATATGTCTTGTGTGTTAAATTATTATTAGATGTTGTAGCTTCATATTTCAGCCATCTTTTTCCCTTTGGTCTGGTGTTTCTGTTGTTACGGTGCTGGTGGAGGGTCGATGTTTTTGGGCGGGTTTTTTTGCGGTGGATCTCTTTTGGCTGAGGTTGTGGAGGTGCTGGCGCTCTACGTTCCCATCTTTCTCTCGGAGCTGCTTCCGTGTTGTTGGTGTGTGTCACTGTGAAAGAGACGCTGCTCCTTGTAGTTGCTGCTTTTATTCTTCTTAAGATCTTTTCTGGGAACGGGTGGCAACTGTACGACAGTGGTGCGTCGCTCTGAAACGTTTACATTTCTGCATGCTTCGTTTCGGTGGGTGTTTGTGTTT